TCTTTTAAATTTTAAATATTTTGAAGGGAAAACTTTCATTTTTTTTTTTTAAAGGTAAATGCTTACAAGCAAGTTTTGTATGGAGACGCATGTGCACAGCACAGCACCTTTCTTTTGCTGATAAAAAATAATCGGTCGTCTCCCACCATCCATGCGCGTTGAACAGTCAAGGTCTGTGGTCTCCCACCACCCATGCGCGTTGAACAGTCAAGGTCTGTCGTCTCCCACCATCCATGCGCGTTGAACAGTCAAGGTCTGTCGTCTCCCCCTGGTCACTATCCATGCGTTGCACTCAATTACTAATCTTTTCCAAGGGTACCATTTAGTGGAATCGAAAAAGTAATGTCAGATGAAATTTCTTTTCTTTTGATTGCAGTTTAACTTTTAGAGTTGACTCAGGTCTTTCTTTGGAAGTATCAATGAAAGAAGATGGCAGAAAGCAAGGTCTTTAATTCTTTGTTATTGTAATGACAATTTTTTTCTTAGTAAGTAACCATGAAGTTGCCTATTGGTGGCCATTTATGTATCGCATTGGTCTTCGCATACAATCGCTCATGACTCGTGACTTGCTTTAAGCCTCTGTTTGGATTGATGAATGTGGAGAGGGGAAGGAGGAGAGAAAGGGACAGATATTTTTCTTGGTGTGTTTCCTTTTTTTTTTTCATTAATAGTAAAGTCTCTCCATTGTTTTGTTTTTTATCTTTTAAATTAGAGGTATCGAAAGAGATTTGAATTTGCATATTTATTTTTTTAATTTTTTAAAAATTAAATATAAAAACATATTTTATTTCAATTTTAAACACTCTATATATACTCTTCTTGAGTACTCTATTGCGCCAAACAAAGATATGAGGATCTTCACAAAGCTCTCTGCACCACTCTGCCTCCTTTTTGTCTTCCTCTGTCTTAAAACTACCTTCTCATCCTCTATACATGCTTCTTCCTTCTCAACAACACATCTCTGCTCTCATGAGGAGGCTCTTGCTTTGCTGCAATTCAAGACATCCTTCTCCATCGATTACACTGGTCTTTGTGCAGATATTTGTGTGGATTTTTTTTCTACTAAACCTAATTATTCTAAGATTGAGTCATGGAAGGAAGGTATAGACTGTTGTTCCTGGGATGGGGTTAGCTGTGATAATGTCACAGGCCATGTAATTGCCCTTAATCTCAGCTGCAGTTTCCTTTATGGCACCTTTCCTTCCAACAGCACTCTTTTCTTCCTCAGAAACCTACAAAGCCTTAATCTTGCCTTGAATGATTTTAGGCATTCCAAGATTCCATCGGAAATCAGTCAGTTTACTAGACTAAAGCATCTTGATGTCTCTTCTTCTGGATTTTCGGGTCAAGTTCCAACAGAAATTGCTCACCTCCCCAAGTTAGTTTCTCTCAATCTCTCTTATTCTGACTTGATCCTTGAAACAACTACCTTCAAAAATCTTGTTCATAACTTGACTGAGGTGAGAGAACTTGTGCTTAATAGAGTGAACATGACTTCTGTTAATCCTCGTTTCTTCATGAATCTCTCTTCTTCTTTAACTACTCTTCGTCTTTTTTATTGTCAGTTAAGAGGAAACTTTCCAAACAGTATTTTCCGCTTTCCAAATCTCAAGAGATTTAGTTTAGGTGGAAAGAGATTTAGTTTAAGTGGAAAGGGAAACCTCACTATTGATCTTCCAAGTTCCAATTGGAGCAGTCTTCTCCAACATTTGTATTTATCTGTCATGGATTGCGGAAGGCGATTGCCAGAGTCTATAGGAGATCTAAAGTCATTACAGTATCTGAATCTTCCTCAGTGCAACTTGGAAGGTTCCATTCCAGCATCCATAGGTAACTTAAGGCAACTTACTAGCCTAGGCCTCTTTTCTAACAATCTTAGCGGACAAATCCCATCATCACTTGCAAACCTCACCCAACTTACCTCTCTTGACCTTTACAATAATCAGTTTTCTGGTCCCATTCCAGCTTCCATAGGTAACTTAAGGCAACTTACTAGCCTACGCCTCTCTTCTAACAATCTTAGCGGACAAATCCCATCATCACTTGCAAACCTCACCCAACTTCCCTTTCTTGGCCTTTCCTATAATCAGTTTTCTGGTCCCATTCCAGCTTCCATAGGTAACTTAAGGCAACTTACTGGCTTAAACCTCTATTCTAACAATCTTAGCGGACAAATCCCATCATCACTCGCAAACCTCACACAACTTCACTATCTTGTCCTTTCTTATAACTTACTTAATGGCACATTGCCACCTTGGATTTTCACCCTACCTTTGTTAGAGTACTTAAATCTCAATCATAACCAACTTCAAGGTCAAATAAATCAATTCCGGAAAAACTCACTCACACGCCTAGATTTGTCAAACAATAAACTCCAGGGCTCAATTCCTAACTCAATTGCTAATTTAGTAAATCTTAGTTATCTCAATTTATCATCAAATCATTTTAGTGATTTAGTAGTACCTGAAATGTTCTCGGTACTTCAAAATCTCGAAATTCTTGACCTTTCTCATAACAACTTAATCGGGAAGATTCCAAATTGTCTTCCTAAGTCTCTGTCAGTGTTGAATTTGCAGGCCAATTACTTTGATGGAATAATAGCATTTGTGTTTCCAGAGGGCTGTGGATTACAATATCTCAACTTACATAGAAATCAAATGGATGGCTTATTATCAAGGTCTTTGGTGAATTGTAGCAAGTTAGAGGTTCTAGACGTTGGCAACAACAGCATAGAGGATACATTCCCTCATTGGTTGGAATCTCTACCAGACCTTCAAGTGCTTGTCTTAAGGTCCAACAAGTTCCACGGTTCTGTGCAGAGCACCAAAGAAAGTCCATCTTTTCCCAAGTTGCGAGTTCTGGACCTCTCCAGCAATTATTTTGTTGGTGCTTTGCCTATTCGGTACATTGAAAATTTTAATGCGATGATGGATCCTCATAAAGATGGTGGTTCCCTTAAATACATGATGGTGTCGACGGGAGCCAATTCTTATCAATATTCAGTGGTTGTGACATGGAAGGGATTCGACTATGAGCTGCAGAAAATCTTGACCACATTCAGTAGTATTCATCTCTCAAATAACAAGTTTGAGGGAGAAATTCCAGATGTTATTGGAAAGCTTAGTTCTCTCAAAGGGCTTAATTTTTCTCATAACAACCTTACTGGTCATATCCCACCCTCACTAGGGAATTTGACGAATCTGGAATGGTTGGATCTCTCTTCCAACGAGCTAGCGGGGAAAATTCCAGATGAATTGGTATCTTTGACACAACTTTCTGTATTGAATCTTTCAAATAATCATCTTGTCGGACGCATACCACAGGGCAATCAGCTCAACACCTTTGGAAATGGTTCTTATGAAGGAAACCTTGAACTGTGTGGAATCCCATTGTCAAAATCTTGTGATGGAATTGGGACACCGCCCAGCTCCTTCCAAGAAAAAGATGAGTTGTGGAGATTTGGCTGGAGAGTCGTGGTGTTAGGCTATGGATGCGGAGTTGTTTTTGGACTGCTGATGGGATATCTTGTCTTCCGAACAGGAAAACCGAAATGGTTCGTGTCTTTGTTTGATGGCCGACCAAGTCAAAGTGGAAGGAAGATGAGGAAAGCCAGAAGACTTGTTCAAAGAAGAAGCTAGTTGCAGAGTTGATGTTTTAGAGCTTCTGATTTAATGTTTCCTGAATAAGTGCTTTTTGGGTTTGAAGTTCTTGTTATGGCTTTGTAATTTTGTCTAAAATTGGCTTGTCTAAAATTGTCAGCCTACTCGTCTTTATTATGCTTTGTAATTTTGTCTTTCTTTATTGTAAAATATATTTGAAGTTTCAAGCTGTTAATCTTTCTTTATTAATGTACTTAAGTCAGTTGGTATCAAACTGGAAGCGAAGGTATGTCAAGTTTCATTCTTTACAGTTTTTGTTCTTGAGATTCCCATTAGCACAGTCATAAAAACTCTTGCTTTACATTTTTGAGTTGGAAGGGGAAGTTTGAATTTTGAGATGGGATTTTGATGGAATCATTTCATAATCGTGGAATCTGGATTTTGGGATGGTTATCGATGTAGGGATATAACTGTAATTGTAAAATTGGAAAGGGTAAGTCCTGTGATTTCGGCTTCAGTCCCTCTCTCCCACTGGCTTTCAGCAACATCTTCCTTTGGCTAAATTTCACCCCTTTAGGGTTTCTCTTCTATTATGAATCCTAACTCCTCCGTTCCATCTACAGCAAATCCATCACCAAGCACGCACAGTTCCAACAGGAACAAGGTGGAATAGGATTTGAATCTTTTT